TCAGAGTATGTGTGAGGGGCAGGAGCAGGGGAGGAGGCTGGGCAGCAGACAGCGTGGGGCCCGCAGCCGTGACCTTGGGCGCTCCCGCAGAGCCTGGCGCCGCCTCGTGCTGTGTTCCTGCTGGGCCTCCTCTTCCCAAGGGGAGAAGTTGGGGACTTGGAGAGAGACTTTCTGGTCCGAACAACACACCATTCTAAGACCTTCCTTTGCCTTTTGGACCAAAAAAAATCTTACCCTAGTAAAGAAAGCGGGGAGAGGACCGAACCAACGCAGAACCTGGACTCTGCCCCAGCGGTTCGGCCAATCACAAGTGAGTCCTTTACTCCGTCTCATTTCTTGTCTGTTAGTCGAGGTTAAACAACAATTATAAATGGCTTCAAGAAGGTAACTTACATTATTTACATGATGAAAATGTAGCGTTATTGACGCTGCCCTCGCAGGAGAGTGCCGTGTCCCTCCTCCTGAGAATTGATTGAAAATTTATTTTTTTACTATGTTTACTGGAATTTTAAAGAAGATGCTAGGCGAGAGATCCCAACCAAATGGTTACTACAGTGTATTGTTTTAGTTTCACATGTCTGTTTTAAGGGGAATATGTTTTATGTTCTTATAAACAGAAGTGAATGGTGAATCCACGTGATTTCCAAGGTAACAGCTATGTGAATAGCTGTAATTGACAATGTTCTTAAACTGTCAAATGGTCTTTAGAAAGTGTTTTCATATTTTTAATCCCTTCCCAATAGGTTTGCCTCAGGCTTTTACAATCTCTATACAAACCTGAATAGCAGAGAACGCCAAAGCCAGTTCCTGTGGATAAGCAAATAGTGGCAAAGTGTTAGGGACCTGCTGGGCTGGTTTGAAGGTATCATCTGAGTGTTTCCAAGGTTGAAGGGGGGACATTTTTTTAAAGGCCCAGGTGGATGCTGTTTTTTATGGCTTAAGAGGAATTATATTAGGTCCATTGCCGGTGAGCCTGCTTATACACAGACTGTGCAGTAGCTCTGCAAAGGCCTGCGTGCAGTTAGTCAATTAAAGAAAAAGCATCATCTCCCTCACTCAGAAGTGTGTTCTTTTGCATGAATCCTTAGTCATGGAGACTGGAGGTTGGCTCACAGGTGGGCCCCTCAGGTGCCTGTCTGGCCCAGCCCCTCATCCAGGTGGCGGATGGGGTGGGCGGTGCAGTAATTGCTATTTCTTGCCTGGTCTCGTACTGCTGCCTACAGCCCAAGGTCAAACACGGCCTTTCAGGCCTGTGGTCAGACGGGATGCCTTTCTACGTTCACTGAGTTTATAAAGTGCATTCTGAGTAGAATGCATATCCTGCCCCTTCTTTCTCAGAGTTACTGTCCCGACCCACCCCGCTCCCTCTCCCTCCCGGAGATCCCGCCCTTTCAAACGCAGTCTCAATAGCAGGGACCTGTAGCACATGTTGCTCTTAAACTAAAATACAAATTCTCCAGAATGCCCCAGCTCATGGGACAGAGCTGAAGGGCTTTCCTCCCTCCGGTCAGGCCAGTAGCCCCCGTTTCACCAACACCCCCGACCGTCCGCAGTGCCCGCTCCTGCTCACTCGGCCGGCAGGTGGTAGGGAAGCCCTCTCCCCTCTACGCTCATCCCAGCGCCTCCAGGCTACGCCCGGCTCGGACTTTATGCTCTGCAAAGCCTTCATGTGGTGACTGAGTTAGGGCTCAGGGCCGTTCCATAGCTTTACAAGATCCAATAGTACTGTCTCGTGTATCAGGGCTCCACTCCTTTATGTTGTTGAGTAACAGTCCGCCGTATGGACACACCACATTCTGTGTATCGTTTCTCCGCCGGTGGACAGCGTCGGAGTTGCTTTCCCTTGGTGGCTGGCCTCTGCCAACAGTGGCGGACAAGTTTTGACATGTTTTCACGCCTCTTGGGTATATACTGGGGAGCTTCTCTGAAGGAGTTTGAGCAAAGTTCAAGTCCAACCGGCCTTGTTTGCAGTGCCCTCCCTGTGTTTGTTTCTAGTGCCCCCTGGTGGCTGACTTGTTTCACGATGACAAGGACTCTGTCCCTGCCCCCTCCACTTCTGCGAAGGGCTCCAAGATCAACGTCCGCTCCTCCAGGCCCCCACTGAAAGCCTCCAACAAGGAGCACAAGAAGACCGTGGGCCACCAGGTCAGCCTGCGGGGGCAGGACGCTGTGGGCGGGCCGGGCAGCACACTGTGGGCAGGCCGGGCAGGACGCTGTGGGTGGGCCGGGCAGCACGCTGTGGGCAGGCCGGGCAGGACGCTGTGGGCAGGCCGGGCAGGGCACTGTGGGCAGGCCGGGCAGGGTGGCCTGTGGAGAGGAGGGAGCCACCACGTCTGGGAGGGAGGCCAGGGGGCCCCCGTATCCCAGCCTGCCACCGGCTCAGTCTTTCTGTGCTGTTTGGAGAAGGAAACTGCGAAACCTTCTCTACAGGGAGCGAGCAGGAGAGGGCGAGGATGGCTTGTAGCCCCAGGCGGGGATTCAGTGCCTGTGGTGGGACCAGGGAACAGCCCCTCAGATGCCTCGGGAGGGGCCGAGAAGGATTGAATAAGCCTGGGGACCAGAACACAGGAAGCACCCTCTCCTGCTTGCAGTCTTCATGGGATGTCATGGCCAGCGTGTCTCCCAAGAGAAGCGACGGGAGTGCCTGCCAAGCCCTGGCGACACTAAGCTTCCTGTTTCACCGGAGCTGCCCATTATGGACTTTCCTATAAATGCAGCCATTCCCAGCGGCCGGGCACCCGGCACCGGTGTGCAGGCCCCGCAGCCCCAATCAGGGGTCCGAGGCCTCCAGGCACTGTGATCATCTCTCCTATCACTTGGTCGCCCGTCATCTCCTCTGATCCACGACCCTGAGTTAGACACAGCAGGGGGGGCCTCTCCCCATTTGGTTCCAGGAACCCTGAGGCCAAAACACAGGAGGGACTGGTTTTAGTCATCCCGGTGGGAGGAGGGTCCGAGGTAGAGTCGGACCCAGGGCTCTGAGTTTCTTCCTGTCCTCGGGGTTCGCAGTCATAATCAAAGCAGTAACAGTGACGGACACTGCTGTGGGCGCGCCTTGATGCTTATTGCATCGCGTGAAAGGCACGTCGATGACCAGGCGCTGCTCTGTCCCCGCAGTTCCGCACCTCCCTGCAGCTGCTCATGGAGACGCTGAACGCCACCACGCCGCACTACGTCCGCTGCGTCAAGCCCAACGACGAGAAGCTCCCCTTCCAGTGAGTGTCGGCGGCCAGGCCCCTCCAGCCCAGCCTCCTCGCTTCCTTAGGGGTCAGGGGCTCGGGAGGAACAGGGAGCCGCAGGCACAGCCCCACGGGTCTGCAGTCTCCACTGGGGTGAATGGCTGGCCTCCCGCCCCCCACATGGTTTCTGTGCTGAGTGCAGGCCCTCAGACATTTCCCGGGGTCACCTGTCTGCTGCCCAGACAGGGGGTCAGAAGATACAGTCCCCCACCCACCCCCCGGGGCGCTCACAGTGGTGTCACGGAGGGTGCATACTCGAATCCGATAGAGAGCCACGTGGAAGTGTGCCTTGAATGCTGGTGATGTCCAGCTCAGACACGGAGGTTTGCTGGCGTGGTGGGGAAGGCTCCTGGCATTGAGGCAGCTTGACCTCAGGTGCCCTGTGGCGTGCTGGCACACTGGGTGGTCCTGTTCCTCTCACCCCACTGCCCCTGAACTTCCGGGTCGTCTACACTCGCTCGCCTTCCCTCCCTCCCCGCCTTCTCCGGTCCAGACCCGGCCTCTGTGCCGACCTGGAACGTTTCCTTCCAGTTCTGTCCCCCTCACATGGTGGATTCTACCCAAATCTTCAGAGCCGCGATACTTAAAGATTGTTGTCCCTCTCTGGTTTCTGCCAAATCCCAGACCATCATTTCTGCAGGCCTACGGCAGCCCCAGGGCCACCTCCCCTCAGCCTGTCTGAAACCCCACCTTTTCCCCGCCAGGTTCCTCTTCATATGGTCTCTGTCGGGGTGAATGCATAACCGCTTCCTGACGTCTCACCCACCCACCAGACAATCTCGCAAACTAGAAACCCGGGAGTCGCTCGGGACCAGTGCGGCCACTAGCGCTTCCTGTGATGACGGGACGCCCTGTCATCGGCATCGTCCTCCGCGGTAGCACTGGTCCCGTGCGGCTCTTGGGTGCTCAGAATGTGGCTAGTGTGATTGAGAAACTGAATCCTTTTTTAAAAATGTTTTTATTGACTTGAGAGAGAGAGGGAGGGAGAGGGATAGGGAAATATTATCGATCTGCCTCCGGCACGCCCCCTACTGGGGATGGAGCCCGCAACCTGGACATGTGCCCTTGACTGGAATCGAACCCGGGACCCTTCAGCCCGCAGGCCGAAGCTCTAGCCACTGAGCCAGATTTTATGGGCTCACCTATTCTTTATGGCCCCAAATTTTACAGTGGGAATTGGCTCTTACATTTGCACGTATTCCTACACAGAAAGCACTTTGTTTTCTTGATTAGCATAGAAAGTGACCCCAGGAGGCGGCATGTGTGAAAGACAGATTATGTGTGAAGGGCAGGAGCAGGGGAGGAGGCTGGGCAGCAGACAGCGTGGGGCCCGCAGCCGTGACCTTGGGCGCTCCCGCAGAGCCTGGCGCCGCCTTGTGCTGTGTTCCTGCTGGGCCTCCTCTTCCCAAGGGGAGAAGTTGGGGACTTGGAGAGAGACTTTCTGGTCCGAACACCCCATTTGTCTAAGACCTTCCTTTGGCTTAATTTCATTTCAGTGATGTTCAGATGCTCATTGGTGGCTAGTGGCTGTCCTATGGGACAGCATCACCCCTGGTCTTCCTCCTGCCTTCCTCCCAGTGTGCAGTCATTGTTAGAATCCCACGGAGGCCAACAGGTCTCCCTCTGGCCTCCATTCCTGCATCACCTTGTCTCAGACCCTCTTCCTCTCTTGCCTGGAGGGCTGCCCGAAGCCCTCGATGGTCCCACCTCTGCAGCCTCTTCTTCTATCACCTGAGCCTCCTCACATGCTGTTTCCTCTGGCCAGAAACACACATTCTCTAAAAAATGTTAAGCACTTTCTTCCCATCTTTCTGATTTCCTTTTGGGTCCTCGCATAATCGCTTTCTGTGAAGTAATTTATTTTGGCAACGCTGACTCTCGGAGTGAATGCCGGAGCTGCCCCTGCCTCCTCTCACTCGATAAAGCTTGACTCGCACTCGACGGGCCTCGTGCTGGAAAAGGCTGGGAGACAGGACTGAGCCAGCCTTCCGTGACGGGCGCCGATTGGGCACTGTCTTCCCTTCCCCCGGTGTCTGAGATGCGCTCAGGGCCCCCCGCCCTCCTGGCATCTGTTTACCAACTGACGCGGGAAGAAAAGGGGCGGCTAGCAGAGCCTTCCGTGACGGGTGCCGATTGGGCACTGTTTTCCCTTCCCCCGGCGTCTGAGACGCGCTCAGGGCCCCCGCCCTCCTGGCATCTGTTCACCAGCTGACGCGGGAAGAAAAGGGGCGGCTAGCAGAGCGGCATGTGTGAAAGACAGATTATGTGTGAAGGGCAGGAGCAGGGGAGGAGGCTGGGCAGCAGACAGCGTGGGGCCCGCAGCCGTGACCTTGGGCGCTCCCGCAGAGCCTGGCGCCGCCTCGTGCTGTGTTCCTGCT